GCCAGTTTGACACCCGTGGTATAGGTGTTAGAAGGGGGTGGGAGCAGTTTTAAGATTAGTTATATTGATCCCGGAATTCAACTTTAATCTTTAGGTTACTACAACCCACACATTTTCTTGGTTGTTACAGGGAGCAATAATATTAATTAGTTCCTCCTCCAGTCATAGTTCTGCTTTAATTCCAGGAGACTGCGTTACATTTTCTAGTGATGGCGCAGTTAGTTGGAATGCAGAAGCCACTGCATTTGTTATTGTTACTTGAAAAAGGATTTGGGCCTATTAGTTTATGGAACTAATGAAATACTGTAAAGATATAACTTACAAAGTAGCCAACCTCAACCTAGTGTTTTGTTTCAATGCCGTAATATAGCTGAGATTGCCTCAAAATGCAGTCATCATGTACAAAGCCTAGGAATCCCGTGACAACATATGAATAAGCATCTGTGTGTCAAAGACTGTAAATGTGCTTCTTTTTGAGTGGAGCAAACCATGACACATAGGTACAATCAATCGCCCATTACATTAGGCATACTTGACACAAAATAAAAAGCATTTTTTGATCCCTTACTTGCCTTCTGTGGCTGGCAGTGGCAGGGTGACAGTTGCAGTGAGTGGAGAATGATGGATCCACACTCTGACAGATCCCAGGCTGGAATTTACCAGGCAAAAGGGGGAGATAAAACGCAGATCAGCAGGCACTAGAAGAGCAAGCTGGGGGATAGTGATGATGTCATCACTCACTGACCCATTGCACACATGGTGGATAGTAGGCAGGGTCACACTTACATAGACACGAGACATCAGAGTCAGACACTACCTTCCTCCACAGGTGCAGCTCCATGTCTGTTAATGAATGGGAAGAGAAGGGCTGGAACACCACAGTGATGAGGAGCAGCCAGCTGGCTTGCAGTAAGGGACTGAGTCTGAGAGGAACACTGGAAGGACCAATACAAAAGCTAAAAGAGGTACGCCATGGGCCAGGGCAGCCGATATACAGTGAATTAAACTAGAAATAGTCCGGTATATATCTGCTACCAATCGATTGCTGACTCACCCCAAAGGTTAATAAAAAGTAGATGGGTGTTGTCACCGAAACTAATAATCTATAGACATATGCATAGGGGTAAGGGTTCCCCCAGAAAGATAGTTTCATATGGGACCATGCAGCTTTAACAAAAAAGAGCTTTATTAGAAAAAGCAAAACAAATGTGCTTAGCACAGATAAATACACAAAAACTGATCATACCACCACCGTCACCTTACCAATTTAAAAAGGCAACGTTGTCTAGTCACCTATGCATCTGCTCCTACATCCTCAAACATGTACATGGAGGGGGCGATAAGACTTGCAGGTACAGTATGGTAACACATGGGGTAAATGGACCGAGATAGTGGGTATAGGAGTATAAAGAATATTTACTCAATGGTTTACCATGTGTGAAAGGTAGAGGTCAGATCAAAGACCAGTTGTCCTATAACCATATACTGTATAATATACAGTTGCAAGAAAAAGTATGTGAACCCCTTTGGATTACGTGGAGTTTTGCATGAATTGGGCATAAAATGTGCTCTGAACGTCATGTAAGTCACAACAATAGAAGAACACAGTCTGCTGAACATAATACTACACAAACATTAGATGTTGCCATGGTTTAATTGCACATAACATGTAAACATTCACAGTGCAGGGAGGAAAAAGTATGTGAACCTTTGGACTTAATAACTGATTGACCCTCCTTTGGCAGCAATAACCTCAACCAAACGTTTTCTGTAGTTGCAGATCAGACCTGCACAACGATCTGGAGTCATTTTGGACCACTCCTCTTCACAAAACTGTTTCAGTGTAGCAATATTCTTGGGATGTCTGGTGTGAATCGCTCTCTTAAGGTCATGCCATAGCATTTCAATGGGGTTGAGGTCAGGACTCTGACTGGGCCACTCCAGAAGGCGTATTCTGTGCTGTTGCAGCCATTGTTTTGTTGAATGACTTGTATGCTTTGGGTCATTGTCCTGTTGCATCACCCATCCTCTGCGGAGCTTCAGTTGGCAGACAGATGGTCGTACGTTTTCCTGCAAAATGTCTTGATAAACTCTGGAATTAATTTTCCTATCAATGACAACAATCCGTCCAGGCCCTGAGGCAGCAAAGCAGCCCCAAACCATGATGCTCCCTCCACCATGTTTCACAGTGGGGATGAGGTTTTGATGTTGGTGTGCTGTGCCTTTTTTTCTCCACACATAGTGTTGTGTGTTCTTCCCAAACAACTCAATCTTGGTTTCATCTGTCCGCAGTATATTCTGCCAGTAGTGCTGTGGAACATCCAGGTGCTCTTTTGCAACTTCAAACGTGCTGCAATATTCTTTTTGGACAGCAATGGCTTCCTCCGTGGTGTCCTCCCATGTACTCCATTCTTGTTTAATGTTTTCCTTATTGTAGATGTGTCAACAAAAATGTTAGCATGTGCCAGAGATTTCTGTAGGTCTTTAGCTGACACTCTGGGATTCTTCTTTACCTCATGCAGCATTCTGCGCTGTGCTCTTGCAGTCATTTTTACAGGACGACCACGCCTAGGGAGAGTAGCAACAGTGCTAAACTTTCTCCATTTGTAGACAGTCTGTCTTACCATGGACACATGAACATCAAGGCTTTTGGAGATACTTTTGTAACCCTTTCCAGCTTCATGCAAGTCAACAATTCTTGATCGTAGGTCTTCTGAGAGCTCTTTTCTGCGAGGCATGGTTCACATCAGACAGTGCTTCTTGAAACCAGTAAACCCAACACAGGTGTGTTTTTTTAAGGGCAGGACAGCTGTCAGCAACACATCCAATATCATCACACTGATTGGAGTCAAGGTTGGCTCACTCCTGGCTCCAATTAGCTCTGGGAGAAGTCATTAAGCTAGGGCCTCACATACTTTTTCCTCCCTGCACTGTGAATGTTTACATGTTATGTGCAATTAAACCATGGCAACATCTAATGTTTGTGTAGTATTATGTTCAGCAGACTGTGTTCTTCCATTGTTGTGACTTACATGACGTTCAGAGCACATTTTATGCCCAATTCATGCAAAACTCCACATAATCCCAAGGGGTTCACATACTTTTTCTTGCAACTGTAGGTGTAGGGCACCTAAAAGTTCATTGACCTCTGCAAAAAGAGATTTGCCAGTCAATAACAGTCTGGGTAAATATGTACCATAAGATGACCAATATGAGGCACCTGACCTCTTACCTTTCACACGTTATACCATTGAGTAAATATTATTTATACTCCTACACCATCTCGGTCCATTTACCCCATGTGTTACCATATTGTACCTGCAGGTCTTCTCGCCCACTCCATGTACATGTTTAAGGATGTAGGAGCAGATGCATAGGTGACTAGACAACATTGTCTTTTTAAATTGGTAAGATGATGGTGGTGGTATGCTCAGTTTTTGTGTTTTTATCTGTGCGAAGCACATTTATTTTTTCTAATAAAACTCTTTTTTTGATAAAGCTGCATGGTTGTATATGAATCTATCTCTCTGGGAGAACCTTTACCCCTATGCATATGAACACTGGAAGGAGCAGCAGATCAGCTGCTACATTGGCCCCAGGCACCCGGCAATTTCCTCTGTCCTTTCTTCCTCCCTCTGCCACCCCTCCCCTTGGCTGAATGATCATTCATGATGTGGCAGCATCCCACACAGGGAGAGTGCTGGCCTGAGCTGCGCCTAGGTGCCCCTAGGTGGCAGTGCACCCTAGGCAGCTGCCTATTTTTCCTAGTGGAAGCACTGACCCTGCAAATCCCCCTTCCTTAAACACTTACCTGGCTTGTCTCACAGCTCCAAAGATGTGCTGGCTGCAGCATTGCTCCTCTCACTTCCTGGTCTCATAGGAGACACTTAGAGCAATGGGAGCTAAAGGCCCTTGCAGCTGTTATTATACTTTGAGGAGGGATCGGGGGTGTGGCTTACTACTACTGTGTGTCCATGGATGCACACAGCCTGGCTCTGGAGCACAGATGCACGGCTGCCCCCTTAGCACCCGGCTTACTGTGGCTTACTGTAAAGGCACCTGGGAGGATGGAGGAGCACACAGCGCCAGCAAGGGACCGCTCTATGCAATATTACACAAAGCAGCAATGATAACATCTTATCTTAAAGCAAAAAAAAAAAAATTCTTTAATATCACTTTAACACAACTAAGGTGCTGTCACAGGTTCTCATCAAGAGAGACCAAATATGCCTGCCCTTTCCTCCCAGCTGCTGCATTTATAGAAGCTGTATGAATGTATGAAGATGAAGTAAGCTTCTATGATTGCAGCAATCAGGAGGAAAACGGTGGGCACCAACAGTAGCGAAATAAGCAAAAGGGACACATCCAACTGACTGTACGTTATGTCCCTTGTACCAATTTTGATTTTTTTCCTGTTTGTGAATTTGGCTGCACTTAGGCTTTAAAAGTGATTAACTGCTATACCATTACAGGGACAAATGAAAACCTTCTCTTATAGACAAGCACACAAAACATTTTCTATGAACAGTCTCCATTTTTATTTAACTGACCCATTTTACTAGAGGCGTGAAACTGAAAATGCTGGAAAATAATTTGTAGCAGTCTTCTTGTGTTCTGTAATAGCACAGATATCCTCTGCTCGCAACAATGGAAAGCTTTGTTCAAAGAGCAAAAAAGTGAAAATAGCACCAAGACTTCAATAATTCATCTGTGTTTCTTTTTAACAAAAGGTTACAACAAACACTGGGAATGTATGATTGTAGCAAAGTTACAGCAAAACAGCAGCCATGTTAGTTTGGCTTTAAATAGCAGCTTGGTTTTACATTGTAACTGTGCCATCATAATGAAACAAGCCCCGTTGTGCTTACAACACACGAAATAGAAAAACACCACACGTTTAGTTCAAGTTTGCACAGGAACTGGGGCAATCACGGTTACATTAGTACTAGAGGAACTCAGGGTAAAGGAGTATTTGGGCTTGAAGCAGGAATCAGGTCATTCTATTCATCTTGTTTCCTTTTTGGTTTCTTTGGATTCCGAGAACGGCTTTTTGCTTTACACAGTGGGCAGATTGGTGCATTGCGGTGTATCTGTTGGTGGCATGATAAGCAGGCCTGGAAAAGAAAATATAATAGTAACTACTACATAAAAGGACAGAAAAATCACATGATGAAAGAAAGACAGAAAACAGAGGGATCAAAACAGTAGCTAAATGATGAAATTCACGTATTTGGGATCACAAAGAGACTATAAGTCCAAATGTAAAATGCCCCATGCTGTGAGGATGTAAAATTAACCTTGCAGCAGAAAACTTAAAATGTTTACCTGTGTGTATTCTTAGTTCTCAGACCCGCTGTCCAACAGAAAAATGACTCAAAGTTATTATGAAGTCAACACTTCAAAACTTGATCTGTCCATCTAAGCTTAAAAAAAATCTCTGGTCTGGAATGGTTATAGAAGAAAACTTAGAGATAGAGACAGGGCATAGGAGAAATTGATAATGACCAAATGATACTGGCACTAGAGGCTGTACCCACTGTATCTATTTCCCCATCTCAAAAATTGACTCAACTGGTCATACTGCACAGGGTCTATTATCCCCCAGAAGTTGCACTCATGTGGCAGAACTGAATCACCTTGCTGTCTGAGATGCTTTGGCACTGACAGCTAGTTAATTCTTATGCTTTGGCGTTGTCCAAAGCCTTTCAGATACTGGACTAATAATTCTCAGGCAGCTCAAGATTTATTCTCCATATCACGATCGCCATATCCCAAGATAGCAAACTTGAGCAATTTCCCTGAGGACCTCATAAGACCGACATCCAGGTTAATGCTGAAACTTTAAAGCATTTTCTTTCTTGCCTGCAAACTTATAGCCCAAAAGTGGTTGTCCCCTTCACCTCCCACATTTTCTCAATGGCAAAGCGCTGTCAATGCTATTTTAGAGGGAGAGAAACTGATGTACCAGCACAGGGGCTGCCCACCCCCAAAAAAAAATAAATAAAAAAAGTGTGGTCCCTTTGGTTAGCTTCAACCTTATTGGACTCTTTTCTTGTCCCCTCTCCATCACTCGCTACTTGATTGTCGACCTGCACTGCACATTGAGGTTATTTCTAAAAGCGTCTTCATTTGCCTACTCACTTACCTTATGAGGACTGTATTGTGATATTTTCTGGATTTGATAGACATGCTGAGCATAATCTCAGGGATAGTCTCAATTTTGTCATAACACTCTGTTATTTGGGTGCATTTCACTGCATATACTCGTACTTGTTATTTACGAGATCCAGCAAGTGTACAGATGCTATTCTGACTGTATTGTATTAATGCTGCACTTTTTGATCCGATTTCTATTTTTATGCTCTGTTATTGTGTAAGTCATACAAAATCTTTAATGAAAACTACCTGATTAAAAAAAAAAACAAAAAAATAAAAGACCTAAAAGGTAGAAAAAAAGAATATAGAAAGCTAAATCAAAGCCTAACTACAAACCATATGATACAACGCTGACTGCAGTTGCATCTCTTACTAAAAGAAAATAGTTAATTTGGGCCAGAGTATTTTTAGTCACCTTTGTAGAGGTCCACTTCTTCTCACTGTAGAAAGAATACATTCTATACACAGCTTTTTGTAACACCCCACCACCACCACCACCACCACCCCCCCCAGTCCTCTGGGACTCTTCACAGGTCCCAGAGGACTGCAGCCCATTTAGAAAGCACAGCGTACTTTGCACAGGAGCAGCAGGAAACTGGCTGTGAATCCACAAGGCACAAAAAAATTGTCTCGGGGTAAGGACATCGCTGGATCCCTGGACAGGCAAGTGCAGAGGAAAAGTTAGCAGCTACACGATTTGTAGTTGCTGACATTTATTTTCTTTTGGGAGGGGGCAGGGGGCCAGAACTCAGCTTTACAGCCAAACTCTGGGCTATACTTTTTTTTTTTTTTATTAAAAGTCTCTCTAGCAGTAGAAAAAAAAACCATCCTCAATTTGAGTGCTGTTCACCACAGTAATTTCTCTTCACTAAAGATGTCTTCAATCAAAAGCAGGATACCTTCATGGGAGGTGGCTGTTGCCGAAAGGTGGCTGTCTGTCGGGTGTCCTGCTTTCTAGCTACTTGTAGCTGTTGTGCTGCTGCGGCTGCTGCTGCAAGGGACTCTGGTATAGGTGGTTCCTGAGGCTCTGTTTGCCATTCAGCTTTCTGTTTTTCAAAGTAGCTGCAACAAGACAAAAGAGCAGAAACATTTAAAAATTATGTACTGAACAAAAAACATTATATAAAAAAAACAGGAAATTGAAAAGGTTTTTCCAGGTACATTAGATTTTATTCTGGTAAGTAATATTACTGATGTGTTATGCTGGCGTTTTGTAATAGATGAAGGTTTAAATAGTTTGTAGACCATGCATTAGGTATCATATAATTTTTCATAACTTGAAAAAAACAGTGGGGTGCAGTACATAACAGCAGTTGACCAGATATTAGTTTTCATTTACTTTTGACTATTCTAGGCTGCTGAAGACTATATTCATGGCCATTTGGAAGTTTTAGAGCTACTGTATATTAAAGAGTAACTAGGCAGCAATCAAAAGATAAGAGGTCAAGTGACCAAGAGACTCCTGCCTTACAGCTCTGAGTCCTGGGCTTAAATCCCATCTCAGACACTATCTCCATAGATAGTTTATAACGCCTGTTTAATGTTAGGTATTTCAGTTTAATCCCAAAAAAAACACTCTAAAAGCTTAACTGGTATCTGACCAACCTGCCTTTACAGTTTGTGCATGGTATGGATTGTTAGAGCATAACTTCCTTTAGCAGAAGGAATAAAACAGGTAATATTTTGGTGGTGTATAATTGAAGTAAATAAACTGATCAACAACATATAGAAAACTCCTGCCAATAATACAGAGGTTAAAGCGAACACAGCCATTCTTCTTTGGTTTGATCTGCTGTGCGTAAAGAGAGAAAAAAAATCATGGTGCAGTCATAAAGGCAGGCACATGCAAATACCTGTACATACCTGCATCAGCCTCTAATAAACAAACACTATTTAGTAAAAACTAATATATATTTAAAGCCATGCCATTTTTGCCATTCTCTCTGCCAGAATACAGCTAGTGAATGCAATCAAAGGCCTTGAGCTAGGGGAAAAAAAAAAGAAATTTTGACTTACCTGTAAATGTCATATCTTGCAGTACAGTACAGAACACAAGCTGAATATTTATAGCTCATGGGTTATAGGCTGGTACCTTCAGGTGATTGGATGCTGGCACACTTTTGGAGGACATGCCCCCTGGGTACCCCCCCTAAACCGACTCCACTCCATGATTCCTCAGTTTTGAAGCAAGTAATCAAAGTAACAGGAATAGAAGGAAGGGTGACAGGTGTACTGTTCGGTACTCCAAGATATGGAATTTACAGGCAGGTGAAAACTCCTTTTGCCTAATAGTAGAGTACAAATCAAAGGCTGATTATTAACAGACCCTGGGATGTTCACAAGCAATGAATGAGAAGGGTGGGCAAAAACTAGGTAACAGAACTGTGCAAAAAAAGCCCCAACAAAGTGTATCAACAGACCCAACTTCAGAGTGCTGCTGCAAGAACATATTGGCTGAAATCCACATCCACAGAAGACTGGACGTCCACCTGGTAAAACTTGTATAAGGTATGAACAGAAGACCAGGTAAAACTTTGAAAAAGTATAAACTGGAGGATCAGTTGGGGGCCTTGCACAGCTGGGGATCAGAGGCCTGATGTCAGAATACCCAGGAAACACCCACCAACCTTGGTGAATTTTCTTTCATTGTATTAGGACACCTACAACAGCAAAGGGTGCCCAACCAAAATTCGATATAGTTTGGTCAGTGTGGGTGGAAAGTCTTAACAAGGCCACATGATTTTTTGCCCGTCTCTTCTGACAGATTTGGCATTAGTCTTGACATTGATTTTGGGGCTACTGTCTGCTGTTGTTCACATTCTGATGCTTCTTGACTTTTTGCAATTTGTTTGAGTTATTGTCCTGGGATTCTACTTGTGTATTGGTTCCTTTATTGCTGGCAAGTACCGCTGCTGATTTCTCCTATATCCATATACAACCATGGTAGATAGTTTGATACGTCTTTTAAAGCACCCTAGTTCTTCCGTTTTTTTTTTGGGGGGGGGGGGTTGCTTTTTTTGGGGGGTTTGCTGTATTACTGCATAAAGATTTATAAATCAAACAGAATTTATCCCCCCAAAAAAAAACACCCACCAACCTGGTGGAGTGAGCATGTAAAAGTGCAGGGGATCCTTTGTCCTTTAGAATGTGAGCTCTGGCGATGAAATGTGTCATGCATCTAGCAATGGTGAAGCAAGAAATCCTTGCAAGGTCCTGAGGGTAGGATGAAGAGGGAGTCTGTCTTCCTGATAAAGGCTGTTGCTTGGAGGTAATGTCTTTATGTCCAGGCAGTAAAAGAGAAATTACCTTTTGGGTGCTTTGGAGCAGGGCACATAGAGGGAAGAACTAGGTCTTCATTGAGGTAGAAGATTTATACCAACCTTAAGAAGAAAAGAGGGTATTGGGCGCAAGACTACCTTGTCATTCTGAAGAGTGAGAAACTGATCCTTAAAAGATAAGAGTGGCTAACTCAGAGACACACCTAACAGACGTGATGGCAACCAAGAAGGCTACTTAGCACATGTGATCATTCAAAGATGGGTTCAAAAGGGTGGTTTCTGCAGGGCAGAGAGAATCAGATTAGGGTCCCAATGAAGCAAGGTGCTGTAAGGAAGGCATGATCCGAGAAACACCTTGAAAATAAGGGGGAGAAAAACCAGAGGTTTTTGGAAAGAAATGGACAAAGCTAAAATTTTTCTTTTCAGAGTTCTTAAGGCCAAGTTCCACTCTAATCCTGATTGTAGGAGTCCAGAATGCTTGGAACAGAGTAATCTCTGGGACTAGAGTGCCTGCTTTCCCACCAAGCAGAGAAGGATCTCTAGATATGATAATAGATTTTTCTGCAAGTGGCTTTTCTTGTTTTTGAAACGTGGTAATGACAGACTCAGAGAGCCCTCTGCCCCACAAGACCTGGGCAACTTGCCATTAAAGTCAGTAACTGAAGAGAAGAATGTGACAAGGGACCCTAAGAGAGCATGTCTGGAATGTTTTGAAGAGGCCAGAGGCCATTGGCCATCTCCTAGCAGTCTGAGCAGGCCTGCAAACCTGGCCAGTTTGGTGCAAAGAGAATCGTCAGTTTCTTCTGTTGCTCTATGTGTTGTGGAGCAGTCAAGGCAGAATGCTCCCTGGAGTCCAGGAAATTATCAGAGCATTCAATACCACTGCAAGAGGATCTCTGGTCCTGGCCAGAAACAGAGGTAACTTGTGGTTGAACCTAGAGTTCATTATACATAACCCTGAGACAGCAGGGTCCACCCTGGTGGTCTACATTCAGAGTACCCAACTTCTACTTCTTGAAGATGTTGGGATGAAGGGCCCATTTCCCTTGGTCCGGGTAGTGACAGATGAGGTAATCCGCCTTCCAATTGTCTACTCCTGGGATGTGGATAGCAGAGAGCATTGAAGGGTGTGTCTCAGTCCAAGAGATAATCAAGCTTGCTTCCTTCAAGGTTGCATAGCTCCTGGTACCCCCTCGGTGATTGATAGAGGTTACAGCAGAGGCATCTGACGGAGTGTCCTTGCAGTGTCCTGAGCTCCAGGATGCTGAGTGGGAGCTTGGCTTTCTCCCATGACCATGTTCCATGAACGGAGAGGGACTGGAACACTTCACCCAAGCTCGAAAGACTGGCATCCGTTAATTTCCATTGATATGGAAGAAACAACTTCTCTATAGTTAAAGCTGGGCTGGAGATCAAAACTAGGAAATTCCTTGGTCGGCTGATAGGAGCACAATTAGGTCGAGAGAAGGAACATGTTTGTTCCATGCCAACAAGATGTTGTTGAGAAATCTCAAATGAAATTGAGCGAATGGGACAGCCCCAAACTTTCATGAAGAATCTCCCAGAGATGAGTTTCAGAGAAAAGTTTAGAAGGAAGTTCTTGAAGGAAGACCTATGCTTGGGTTGTGTCTTAAATGATTCCCAAATATTCCAGGCTTTAGCCGTGGATCTTTAACACCTGGTTTCCACCATTGTTACGGATAAGATATTCCCCTGTGGGGTACTCAAGGAGTAGTGAGGAAATGGGAAAGGCGTGTCTCAGGAGGAGTATGCAGCAACGTGGTTGCAGACTGTCCTGTAGCAAAGTGCTTGTGGCAAAATGGTAGATGAAAGAGCCCGAGGAATACCATATAAAAGGGCTTAAGACAGAAGTGGCGGTAAAGTGTGAAATATATGGTGTGATGTAAGACCTGGTCATCCACCCAAGACTAAACTCTAAGTAGTGGAATTTTAGTGCCAAGTATGAAAAGTTTACACTGTAAAAGTGAATAAATTTCAAACACAGTCACAGTTTCCTGATAGATATAACGTATGCATATTAACTATTCAAGACTGTGGGGCTACAGTAATGGTCAGAGATACAGGGTGACCCTCTCTTACCTGTCCATGTTGCTGGCCCTTACATAGGGTCCAGGCTTTGCCCATCATGGTAAGTATATCCGGAAAGGGGTCTTCAGGATCTGTATTCAAAAAGGATGGACCATTGCCCTGGACCCACATAGTACACTGTGGCTAACTACATGCATTGTAGTAGTGGAGAAACAAAGGTGAGCAGCCAAGCAGGATCTAATGCCTAAAGCAACAATGCAGGCCATCCTGACAGTGTGGGGTCCAGGTATTGCAACCAAGGTTTTACTGAGGCTACACAAATCTGGATGCACTACTTCTTTTGTATTAGAAGACAGTGAACCATTGATTGAAGAATCGAAAGAAAAATAAACTAAAACCAAAAAGTGATTTCTCCATAAGGAGGTCTGTCATCTTATGGCAACTAGCAAAAAACTGAAGACTCACAGAGTGGGAAGGGTTACAGGAGGGACACCCAGGGGGCTTATCCTCAAAAGCTTGCAGTGTCCAATCACCTAAAAGTTCCATTCTATAACCCAGGGTCTAGGAATATTTAGCCTGTGTCCTGTATGACAGGATAGAGGTATTTGCTTTTGCATGATTTGAATAATCACAACTCCTCCCCATCCTACAATATAGACCCAGGGGTATACAGGCATCATATATGCCTAGAAATATTTAGTGGCTGCTCCTGGGAGCATCAGCAGTGTCATAGGATGGAGTTACAAACGTACCCTTAGCTGCTGTAACAATGCTGGTTAATTATTTTTTGCCTAAGACAAACTAATAACTATTGTTTTTAATTACAGAATAAGTGTTTGTTAACTGCCCAAAGCAGATTTAATCTATCTCAATATTATCAATCAGAATGTATACAGTGCTATATATATGAAAAGAGAAATTAGAAATCACAGTCAAAAATAAAATGCCATGAAAGGATACATGGCCATACTAGGACTAACTTACTCCAAAGACAGCTTTTCCTCCTCCTCACACAGATCTGGTAGTCTCTGTAGCCCTAGAGTCATTCTTAGTGCATCTACGTGCTCCTTCAGTGGCTTGTACTCCTCATGTAGGCGACGTGTAGACTCTAAAAGTTTGTTCAGGTCATTTTCTGACTGTTTGATTGTGTTTTCCATCTACAGAAGAGAAAATAATACCAATCAATAACAATTCAAGTAAGAAAAAATACTAATAACTAACTCCATAGGAGGTATCCTTATTAAAAAAAGAAAAGAAAAAACACTTATGTAGTAAAAATACAAAAAGGCTTCCTCTCATTGGATGAGGTGGAGAGGCAGGCAAATTATGTCACAATCTCCATCTCAGCCAATCAGAGGAAATATTGTATTCATTGATAAAAATACAAGACTTAATATGAATGGCTGAGAAGCACTGATTTTCCTCCAGCAACAGACGAGAAGTCTCCCAAGATCTTGCTAGAGCACAGAGCTGCATACTGCATGCAAAAACATAATTTAGTAAAGGAAATGGTTTGCTTGGCCCAAACAAACTAAAAACGACAGAAAACCTGGAGATAGGCTGTAAGCCAACTTACTGCTTTGCTCTACATGGGCAGAACATTGTCTACATTGAATATACAACAATACCAATTTTCAACAACAGATGGCACTGCAGAAATCACTCTCTACCCCCACAAGAAAACTTGGAAGCTGTGGAATAAGTGTCCCCCTCAATGCTAATTTACAGAAGGGTCCCAAATAATTGGGTATTATTTGTTTCTTCCCCCTTTAAGCAAAATTATCACAATATAATTACAGGTCCTAAAGTGATACTAAAGGTACATTGTTTTTTTTTTTTTTCAAACAACGAACATGTTATACTTACCTACTCTGTGCAGTGGTTTCGCACAGAACAGCCCCAATCTACCAATTCTTAGGTCCCCCGATGGTGCTTCTGGCTCCTCCCCCTTGACCAGTGCCCCTAATAGTAAGTTGCTTGCTATGGGGGCACTGGTGCGTGCTCGCTCCCAAGCCCTGTTCTGTGCATCCTTAAGACACATAGAGCCGAGGCTCGCCCCCACCCCCACTCTTTTATCACTGCTTGTGATTGAGGGTAGTGGGAGCCAATGGCTCCTGTGCACATCGCTGGATCAAGATGGGGCTCAGGTTAGTATTAGAGGGGGGCTGATGGGGGATCTGAACACAGAAAGTTTTTTTACCTTCACGCATAGAATGCATGAAGGTAAAAAAGCTTCAGCCTTTATAACCACTTTAAACAATATATATGCAAACAAAAGATCTGTTCCAAAGATAAGTTCACCTTTAACTAAATCATTGTAAACAAAGAGTTAAATTACATTAAGCTCATCAGGAATACAACTTTTAGGGTGCTGTAAGTGCATTCCACACTGTATAGGGACCCTAGGTTAACTTGGTTCTGAAGGCAGAAAGTTTTTTTTACCTTAATGCATTCTATACATTAAGTTTAGAAACCTTCTGGGTGCAGCTCCCCCCTCAGCACTCCCATATACTTACCTTTGCTTTCTATCCTATGATATACATTTTAGTGGGTTTCTTAATGAACCAATTTGGAGGATGTCTTCAAAATGTAATGTACAGTATACATGTGCCTGTGGGGGGGGGGGGTGTCTCAAGACTGGAAATACTTTGAAAGGCTGCCATGCCTAAAAAACAAAAAAGGTTGAGAAACACTGACCTAAACTATCATGAAGTGAGCTAAGCCACCGAGTTCTACTTAGCATACCAACAAAGATGTACGCCTATACGGTTATGTCCCTTGGAGGTAGACCAACAGTGCCCCAAAGCTCACAATGTCTTCCTGGCACTTTAAACAGCATAAGAGTATAAGGTGAAAAGCTGGCAACTTGTTCTCCCAATAAAAGTACTTTATTGATAAAGGGTACAGTGTGTAAGCTACAGCAGCTTATGTGTTTCGGTAAAAAAAAAAAAAACTTATTCATAGCCAACTTGGCTATGAATAAGGTTTTTTACTGAAACATAATCTGCTGTAGCTTACACACTGTATCCTTTATCAATAAAGTACTTTTATCAGGAGAACAAGCTGCTGGCTCTTCAACGTATACTCTCATGCTATTTAGCTTATGGACTGCAGCTTTATATATCTAGACTAAGACTAATTGCACTTCAGCTGTTTGTGGATTATAGAACTATGGTCAAAAATAAGAATTAAATATCAATATTATGAACACAGCAGTCCTTGTTTTATATGAGTCCTCCAAAGCACATTCCCCCATAAGATAGTTTTATTACCATTGATTCTGCCAGTAAGTCTGTTAATTTTTAACTTCCTTTACCAGGCCAAGCTGTCCAGCAAAAGTGGAAGTTAGAGGGCAGAGACAAACCATCTAATACTGACAGGAGTGCCTACAATGGTCATCTTGTATTTATATAGGTAAACCTTTATCTCCAAAGGTTTAAAAAGAATGTTTTTGTAACTGCCTAAAACTGCTGTGTGTTAGCTTTACTTTGTTAGTCACTTACTATATGTAAAAGTCATCTAAATTTGTCTATCCTACACTACTATGTTGCTGTTCCAGAGATACATGGAGAAGAAAGTGCAGCCACACGAATACAAAAAGTGTGATACTGCCTGAAACATCAGGTGAAAATAAGGATTGGTAAACTGCAATATGATGAATCTTTGTTTTGGGGTTTTACCACTTCAGCTCTCACACCTGTTCACCCCTTATGGACCAGAGCAATTTTTACATTTCTGATATGGACCCATTTATTTTGAGATAACAATCTCATTACTTAAGATAACCACATAATACATATGCGGTTTTATTTTCAAGTACAACCAAGACTTTTTGTGCGTATTATCTTGCAACAATGATTTTACATTTTTTTGTTTGCAATCTTTAGACAATTAAACATAACGAAACTAATCAAAACTCACTTTTTCTTTAGTTTGAAAAGAAATAGTGGTATTGCACATAAAAATTGTGTGCATTTTTTTATTTTTTACAGTTATCTGCAAATGAAGTGTTTTTTTTTTGGGGGGGGGGGGGGTTTCAATTTTGCAGGTTTTTTCAATATATGTGTAAATATATGTTAAAAGGTATAAAAATATGAATGAACAAAGCAAACAAAAAAAATATTACTTGTTAATGAAATAGAAACAAACGAACAAAATCAGCAGAAAAATTATAATTGAATGGAGAAGGAGAATTAGTTATTTAGGGATGATTAGAGTAAACAAAGGGTTAATAAGGGGTTAAAAAGTGGAACATTTAATTAAAAAAAAAACTAAGAAAAAACCCACTTTTTTTTTTTACTTGTCAGGTTGCTTTAACTGACTTTATCTAAGATTGAAGTTCATCCCTTTGATCTGTAGATGAATAAACAGAATAGATACAAATGTAACAATATGTCAATATTGTTCTGAGCAATGTTCTTGATAAACATTGTCAGGCTGCTTATTTTGACAGCTCCAGTTCCTTCTCTGAGTACTGGGACAGGGGGGTCCTGGTAGCAAGGCAGAAGGAGTGGACGTTCTATACACGTCCTGTGTACAATGATGACAATTTTTTGTGGCATGTGTAGAACACACAGAGTCTGCGACTGGTTAAGTATACTTTAACAGCTCTAATACATACCACATTAATGTCAGCATGAATAAGCCTCAGCTCTTCTACATGAGCCATCTTCTCCTGAAGTAAAAGGTCCATTTCTTGTTTGTACTCTTTTAGATGTCTCTCCTCAGACTCCAAGGACTCAAACTCAGCTTTCAGTCTGGCCTTGATCTTCTCCATCTGAAGAGTCTTGTTCCTGGAAGGACCAACATGACTACATTTATCAGGCATCACAATTTTATTCTATCAGGCAAGAATAATGTAATATTTCACACATAATATTAATTACCATTATTTCTATCACCCAAAGTTTGACCAGTCCCAGCAGTTTTCTACTCACTGCTGCTTCTTATATAATGTTCCTATCACAACTAAATGTTTATTAAAAAAAAAAAAAAAAAAAAAAAAGCAGGACAAGGGAAGAAGGAAAAACAAACATGAGCACTCTATAGTGTAGAGTTGAATTTAATATAGGGATCAGACAAAAAAAAATGTAAATCAAGACTGGATTGTACTCACACCTGCAGAGTTACTTGAAACCATGTAAGTGGTCAGTGACCAGTCATTGCACTTGTGGAAAATACATACCGGTCAATGCTTAGCACTTTCCCGCAAAAAACACTGACAAGCTGCAAGATGCTCATTTTACATCAACCTGATAATGTGTCCTAGGTTAGCAAGAAATGTGTTGAAGGTGCACCAAAATCATCAAAAGAATATTTTTCCTTGACTTACTAAAAATTTGAGTTAGAGAATACGTTGAAAAAAACAAAACAAAAACAAGCACAACAAGAACACATCAGTGTGTTTCATCTGTTACGGAAATTTTGTAGATAGGCAACTCCTACCCTCATATTAATCAGCAGTTACAAAATAATAACTACTGCAGTAGGGAACAGACACATATATGGAAAAGACACAGCTTCTTATCATGTTCTGCTTATGGAAAAGATACACTCAGCTTCTTATCACTGTTCTGCTTATTCGGCAGAATTGATGTTTTTTCGTACACATGCTGACATATGTATAACATTCATGTTACAATTGTACTTACTGCATAGGGTAACAATGTGTGTTATATAGGCAGGCTAATTTCTTAGAATGGCTTGAAAGAATGCAAATACGTAATCAAAACATTATTAGTGCCGTGTGCATAATGGGGGTTATTTACTATAACTGGAGAGTGCAAAATCTGGTGCAGCTCTGCATAGAAAATCAGCATCCAGGTTTTATTGCCAAACCACTTTCCCACCGCCCTATAGCAGGGCAGCAGGGGTGCGCAAAATCATGTATATATACACACGTGATTTTGCACCTCCGGGTAGGAGCCGCACGCGCTCCCTACCTGCGCCGCTATTCGCTGCCTCGGGTGTCAATCACATCCCGGCCAGTGATTACTCGCCAGCACCTGGTGATTGCC